CAGGTACTATGTCAGGAATGATCATGCTTAATAATATTCATGTGTTCGCTTTATTCGATACTGGAGCGACGCACTCCTTTATTTCACGACGATGCCTTGATGCCATCGGAGTTCATGCCATTACCGCTTTCGATCCTCTCGAGGTGAGTTTAGCCTCGGGACGAAAGATAGTGACTTCAGCCAGAGCTTCAGATCTCAGCCTTTCCATCGGTGGCCGTTCATTGTCTACTGACGCGTATGTTCTTGAGATGAGGGACTTTGACCTCATTCTCGGGATGTATTGGCTATCCTTTTATCATGCAGATATTCGATGTCATGACCAGGAGATTACTCTTTATCTTCCGGGAGACGATTCGATTACTTTCTTTGGCACTCGGAATCGTTCATTACCTCATGCCGTTTCAATGGCGAAAGCTACCAAGTTGCTGCGACGAGGCAACTGCCAGGGTTATCTGGTGAGCCTTGTTGATGATTCTCAGAAAGCACGATCACCTCACGATGTCCCAGTTGTTCGTGAGTTTGTGGACGTGTTCCCAGATGAGCTTCCAAGAGGACCGCCTAACCGGCAGGTGGAGTTCTCTATTGATCTCATTCCAGGAGCTGGCCCAGTATCCAAAGCCCCGTACTGTATGGCACCGAAGGAGTTGCAGGAGCTTAAGGCGCAGATTTAGGAGTTATTATGACACGGTTTCATTCGACCGAGCGTGTCACCTTGGGGAGCACCCGTTCTCTTTGTCAAGAAGAAGGACAGATCCATGCGCATGTGTATCGACTACCGGGAGCTTAACCGGTTGACGATCAAGAACAAGTATCAACTCCCCAGGATCGACGACTTATTCGATCAGTTGAGGGGAGCCTGTGTATTTTCAAAGATTGATTTACGATCAGGCTACCACCAACTGAAGATTAAGGAGTCAGATATTGCTAAGACCGCTTTCAGGACTCGTTACGGCCATTACGAGTTCGTCGTTATGCCATTCGGCCTCAGCAATGCTCCAGCGGTTTTCATGGACCTGATAAACCATATTTTCCATCTCTACCTCGATCAGTTTGTTATTGTCTTTATTGACGATAGTCTTATCTACTCGAAGAGCCAGAAGGAGCACGAGGAGCATCTAAGGGTGGTTCTCGAAACCCTCAGACGAGAAAAGTTGTATGCCAAATTCTCCAAATGCGAGTTCTGGCTCTAGCGAGTAGCTTTTCTGGGTCATGTGATTACTCAAGCAGGTATCTAGGTGGATCCTTCTAAGGTCTCAGCTGTTCAGAACTGGTCGACACCGAAGAGTCCGTCCGAGGT